ATATATATATATATATATATATATATATATATATATATATATATATATATATATATATATATATATAAAGGTATACAAACCTAGTAATGAGTTGGTTACCTGTAGTCAGTCAGCAATCTTTCCGAAAGAAAATACCTCACGGATCATAAACGCAATCTGGTGGTAATATAAAATGATGAATGCGGTTAGCAGAAAGAAACCAACGGGAATTGAAACTGTGCGATTGTTTTAACCTAAATGGGCTTCGCCAGCAATGCGAATAAATCGACACAACAGAGGACCGAAGCCGGAATCTCATCGACCAGATGCTATCATACTACTCACATGACCGTTTCTCATTTGGTCTACATCCGGACTGTTCTGCAATTATCCATCCGCAGGACATGACACCACTCACTTTTGTTTACCCACGCTGAATCAGGATCGCACACCTTATAGCCAGTCCTCAGTGCATAAACCCAGCCGAACGTTTTATATTATCTATTAGCTGCATTTAAATCGAATAAAACTCATCCGAATGAGCATAGTGATAATAACCGAGTTCATTGAAATACAATGGTTAAACCCCAGACCTCTATGATGTTTGTTGGTTTCATCAACCTCCCACATGGTTCATTCATGCACACCGTCACCAAATCATGGCATTATTGTTGACATCGAGAATCTAATACAATCATCATATTCGTTTTACGTTTTCTTGATCATTCTCATTTCAATGAGCTCGCGATAGAGGCAGTTGCAACAAACTGATACACAGGAACATTCGCTTTGCATCGAATGATTGAAAACATAACTGGGTCAACAACATCTTCGTGACTGTTATCAGCATCGATAACGCCTAATCCTGTCAAACGTACCGGAAGTAGGTGAACAGAAACATGCTACTATCTGCACTGACCAGAGCGTCGGTCACCGTGTCCGGAATCATCGGATGCTGACGTAGAAAAACCATATGTTCAGCCTTGGATGTGTCGGAAGCGTTCATGAATATGCTCATAAAATGTTCTCGCGACATGACCAAAACTTCCACCTTGGTATTACACACAGTTGTAGCACTCCGTTTCCCGCCATAGATGAGTGACAGTTCCTGGAACAAAATGGTCCTGTAGCTGTAAATCATTTCAGCGCTTGCGTTGTAATCGCTTAGAGTTTAAAATATGGTTCAATATATATGACATAACTGATGGACCTTCTAAACTATATACCTTTCAGAATCATCAAGTATTTGTGATCGAAAATCTGGAAGAAAGTGAAACCTCCTGATGCGGTTATTTTTTCTTGTCACAATGCCCAACATAAATGAAAAAAATGAATAGGGGAAGGTAGGTTGACCATTACTGTCTAGTTCACTGAATACGAATGATGGAAAAGCTGGGCGGTATTTCTTGGGACATAAATCGTTTTACAAAACAGGATCTAAGTATTTTGTTGTTCAGTCAGCTTGGAAACCAAATGCGTGGGGCTTTTGAATACGAATACTTGTATTGTATTTATATTTGTATAGACTTTTACGTGAACAGAACATTTTAGTCGAAAATTACACATCATCAAAAGAAGGAAATAATAGGTGTAAAACATCTTACCTCCAAAGTCGTTCAGAAATTCAAAAGAAACGCTCTGTCGGTTTGCAAGGGTTCTGGCGAGATTAAGAACTCGGTAATTTCTGTAGAGGCAGTGCGTAGAATGCGTAGATGAATGAGAGTAGCATTTGGATAGATCCACATGTACAGGATGCGGGGGGTCAGAGAGGATTTTCTGTGTAAATGTTTCACATGCGGACAAGTGAAGTTCCTTCTGCCCTGCACATGTATGTCCTCGGGTGCTCAACGTAAATGAATAATAACTTCTTTCATACGGGAGGTAAACACCTGAAGTATTTTACAGGGAAACGTCGTAAATTGTCGTAATCCAGTGACTGATGCCATTTTTACTGAAATTAAACCAATATCCAGATCCTGGTTTTGAACCCCGCTATAGAAAACTCCATTTTCTTGGTCAACATAGCCACATCGGAATGATAGATTGCAAGCCTTCTACCAGAAAATCAGAGTCGTTGAATATAGGCAGAGGTTTCTAATTACAAGGTACAGTCAATGTCCTGCTATATTCTACCCACATTTTCCAATGCGTTACCACTTTTAGCAGATTTAACCAACCGTATGAGCGGTAAATTTGGTCGTACCTATGCACTATGACCCCTCAGCACGTCGCACTTCCCGATACCTACTCACTTAGTCATTGACCGATTTAAGAGTTCGCTATTGACCAAGTAACATGCAATGTTGAACTGAACCGCTGACGTTTCACCTAGTGTGACCCGCTCATAGCGTTGTTCACTGATGGGATAACCCTTATGTGGAAGGCACACAGATTCCATCAGTTCGAAATGGTATTATTTTGACGCGACAACGTGCAAGCGCCTATCTAACAGACAGAGGCACAATGTGTTGCAGATGTAGAATCGGGCAAGTGCAACTCAGTGCAACTCTGTAACCCATTCACTTAGTATTTCAAGGAAACTTGACGACCATAGGAAAATTTCCCTATAGCTTTGAATCTCAGGAAAGCTATCATCTGAAAACCAACAAAAGTTTCATGGCAAGGATGTGGAGTAAGATGTGGAATATGTAATTGATCTATAACTCTCGTCGACCTGACGAGTCTATTCGAATGGGTGAAGGATGATCGCAGTTGTCCTTGCTGGAACACCGACGGAATTGGACAGGTCATTGGTCATCGTAACAATTACGACCCGGGTCTTACAATCACCTTACTCTGTTTGAGCAATGCAATTTTACTTGGTAAATCACTGTTAAACGATCACATGTTGAACTTACTTAGTTAACATACCTTTTTAACTTCAGTTTAATCAGTTGCAACTTCAAATGAATCCGTTGTGACTTCAGATGAATCCATTGTAACTTCAAGAGAATCCAACCAATCGCATTCCACTGGGAACCTGTGGTGATCCAGGCCTATGCGATGACGCCTACCCTGGAATGGCGCGTTACAGTTTTAGGACATTTGCGATCAATCAAATTTGAATGCCATTACGGTCCAATGCTTCCGTAATCCAATCCGTGACAGCTAATCCTTGACTCGTGTCCGGTGATTCCTATTGCGTGGTTTGTATTCCGAATTCCGTGCGTACTACTACTACTGTTATATTCCGAAAAGGCGGTGCTGGTCGAGGAGAGTTCTTTATTTGAGAATACA